CAAGGTCACAGAGCTAGTGGAGAAACCTAGCTTTTTCCACTACTGCCTCCAAGTGATGACTTCAGACCACAGAAACACATGCAGCGAGTACATAAACAACTCCTAATCTAAATAGACTGATTGCTCAGAAACACATCGTCAGTAGCAATCAAAGCAAATATGGAGGACAACTGTGTTTTTTTTTAAATAGTCCACCAAAAAGAGGAGCAAAAGTTGAAGAGATTAAATAAGTCCTTTGCTGAATGCACTACTCAAAGATGTGGGACTGGTTGGGTATTCTTTTTCCCCCCTCCTTTCTTTTTTGGTGAACTAAACCTTGCAAATGCTCTACAGGAAAGTTACCAACTGAGCTGTATGCCCAGACCTTTGTTGGGTTTTCTTGAATGATTGTTCAGAACAGATAGTTACATCCCTCCCAAACACTTACTCTTCTACAGTGTAAGAGTAAAAGTAATTAAATTGATTGCCTAAGAGTAGTAGATTTTAACAGAGGTGACATTTTTGTGATTTGAAAGTGGGAAATGGGGGGCTGAGAGATGGCTCGGAGGTTAAAGGCACTTGTTGCTCTTGCAGAGGATCACAATTTGATTCCCAGCACCTACATGATAACTAACAATCCTCCAGTTCTAAGGGATCTGATACCCTCCCTCTTCAGACCTCAACAGACACCAGGCACATACATGGTACACATACATATACATTCAGGCAAACTCTGATACACATAAATTTTTTTAAAAAATTGAAATGAAAATTAGGTCTCTTTGCGGGGACAAGATCGAAGTTATTGTGCATGATAGATTAAAAAATTACACTTTAAATTTTTGTGTACAAATGTGTACAGGTGCACACATGCTACCGAACATGTGAAGGAGGCAGAAGACAGGTTGCAGAAATGGGTTTTTCTCCATGGTGACATTTTTTGAAACTGTACTTATGCCTTTGAGATACACACACATGATAAAAGTCTAGAAAGAAAAAGTAGTGGTTGTTTAAATACTTAGACATCAGAGTAATAGATTAAAAAGTACTAGATGGAGTAATATTACTAGATGTAAGTGCCACATTAGCAATAAAACATTTCTAGGAAAGACATTTCATTCCTTGGCTCTGTGATCATACTTCTATTTTTGTTCCACTTTGTTTTTCCCCTTCCTACTTGCTATTAAAAATGTAGGTGGCAGTTGTGTCCCTTTTCTTTTGCTTGGTACTTACTTCAAAGTGGCTTCTACTTCTGCAGGATTTCACTGTGTCTTGCTTGACCTGAGGGCTTTTAGTACCTGGAACAGATCCAGATGGCACTTCTTTATGGTAAATTGGTGCTGTCTTTATCCCTACTTTGAAAATTCATAGTTCTGGAGATCATGAACATAGCTAGCCCTGCCTAGAAAGATCTGTTTTTAGAGGCTGGGGAGATGTTCTGTGGGTAAGAGCACTTTCTACACAAGTGGGAGGATCTGAGTTCAAGTCACCAACACTTTTGAAAAAGGCTGGGCATTGCTGCATTTGTCAGTAACCCCACCACTATCTGAGTGATGGAAACAAGGATTGCAAGGGCTTGCAGGCTGCTAGCCCTCGCTCTGGGTTCAGTGAGCAACCTGGTCTCAAGACAGAGAGTGATAAAGGAGAACACCCTATCCTCTGGCCACTGCATCTCCACTGGCGAGTGACCCTGCGCGAGCGTGCACACACACACACTCACACACATCACACACATACACCAATCATTTAGAAATTCAGAAAAGCCTTCATTTTATATTGTTTGGGGACTGAAATGGAATTTAAGAAGACCTGGTTTCGGAACCAAATACATAATAAACTGTGTGTGTTTGCTTTGCTTTCAGTTCCTCATCTGTGAATTGCTTGCTAGTAGGTAAATATAGCAAGGAAATAAATTGCCTCCAGGCTTGGAGTGGTCTATTACATAGGAAAGCAAAATGATTTGGGAAAGTTCTCTAGTGTAGAGTTGAAAAGCAGAAAGGACTGCACAATTTGGTATATAATGAATATTGTTCATTACAAAATATTTGAAAGTTTGTTATTAGGTGCTTTGCCACACGTGCAGAAATTAATGTAATTTTTTAAAAGTGCTATGAGCATGTTGGGGCATGTTGGCATTTGCCTTTAATCCCAGCAGTCATGGGCCAGAGACAGATCTCTGTGGGGTTTGAGGCAAGCCTGGTCTATGTAGTGAGTTCCAGGACAGCCAGGGTTATGTAGAGAGACCTTGTCTCAAAAACCCAAAAAATAAAATAGAAAACAGCTCTTGAATAGCATACTGTTTCTTGTTGGAGAATATTTTGTTTTCTGTTTGCTCGCTCACATGGAATTGACTTAGTGTCATGACCCATGGATATTCCAAAGAAGAATGTTGATCCTAATGTACGATAGTAGAAAAAAAATAGGACTTATATTACAATAGTATGCAACTGTTCTGCAGTTTAATAAATAGATACAAAAATATAAGTAATGAGTATATAAACATCATTGTTAGCTTCCTGTCTGTGTGACAAAATACCTAGGAAACCCAACCTAAATGAGGAAAAGTGTTTTATTTTCTATTGCTATGAAGACACCATGACCAAAGTAACTTCTGGAAGAGTTTATTTGGGGCTTATAGTTTCTGAATGTAAATTCAAAAGTCAATGACCTTTGTAGTGAGAACATGGCAGTAGGCAGGCATGGTGCTGGAGCAGTAGCTAAGAGCTTATATCTTGATCTACAAGCATGAGGTGGAGAGAACTAACTGGCAATGGTGTAGGCTTTTGGAACCTCAAAGCCCACCCCCAGTGACATTCCAACAAGGAATCCTTCCCAAACAGTTTCACCAACTAGGGTCCAAGTATTCCAATGCATGAGCCTGTGGGGGCCATTCTCATCAAACCACCCCACAAAGTGTGTTTCAGCTCATGGCTCCAGAGGCTTTAGTTGGTGCTCATTTTACCACTTTGCTTTTAGGCCCATGTCAAGGAAGAACATTATGACATGGAACATGTGGCAGAGAAGCTCCTTCCAGTCATGGACTGGGAAAGAGGGAGATAAAAGGAGGACAGAGAGAAGGGAGGGAGGCAGGCTCTTGATATAACTCAAGCATACATCCCCAGGAACTAAATCACCTCATAAGGTTGTCCTACCACCCTATAAGCTGAGCACCAAGCATTTAGCACATCCAGAGGACATTTCAGATCCAAGCCATAACAATAACTGTTCATCATTTAGAATTATATTGCCTTAAACTGTACCTCCATCCCACCCCATTTATCCAAAGAGCTGATCTAATTGGGAGTATGTAACATATGTAACATTATATTGTGTGTGTGTGTGTGTGTGTGTGTGTGTGTGTGTATATACACATGCCATGGTGTGCAAGTGGATGCCAGAGCACAACTTACAGAAGTCAGTTCTCTCCTTCTAACCATGTGAGTCTTAGGGAATCAAAGAGATATCAGGCTTGGTGGCAAGTGTTTTTACCTACTGAGCCTTCTCATCAGCCCTAGATTTTTGTTAATTGGGTAAAGAATACATTGGCTGTTCTGTTTCCAATTTAGTTCACCTCTAATAGTCATAGTCCATTAGTGCAAACTCCCCAAATTAAGGATGTGGGTTCAAAGATGCTACTGCCCTAGATGCCATTCTTACTTTAGGGGTCTCCAGGCCTTCAGAAAGATAACTTCTGACTTGGCTATAAGAAAAGTTTTCTTAAGCTTCTTATGGATCAATAATTTGCTAGAATGACTGACAGAGCTCTATAAAACCCTATACAGTGCTTATAATAAAGGATAGATACAACACAAAACAGCCAAAAATGTTGAGATGCCATGGTCTCTACATATGGAATCAGGGAGTGTCTCCATCCAGGCATCAAGGTCTGTCCAACAGAGTCCCACCAAAGCCAGTGTCCAGAATTTGTATTGGGGTTATAGTACTCAGACATAATAAACTATGTGGGCCCGTGATAGAATATAATGTCCAGTTCCCTTCCTCTGTGGAGGTCAAGCTGGACTAAAGTTCCAACCTTCTGATCATGTGGTTTATCTTTCTGATGACCTGAAACAATTTGCAAGCTCACTATGAGTCACCTCATTAGCATGACACAGTTATAACTCAGGAAATACTAAAGGTTTTAAGAGCAAGAACCCTGAGAGGAACCAGGATCTTATAGAATCCAAGGCTTATACATGCTTAATGTACACCCACAGCCTCTCAGATACTTTTTTTTTTTGTTAAGATGAGGTCTTATTGGTAGCCCAGGTTGGCCTTAAACTCATGACCATCTTGCCTCACCCTTTAAGTGCTAGGGTTATAGATAGCTGTCACTACACTTTACTAAATAATACTTTTTTGGTTGGTTGGTTGATGATGCTGGGAATGGAACCCAAGGCTTTATTTAAGTATGCCAGAAAAGCACTGTGCTACTAAGATACATCTCTATTAGATTACACTGACATTTAGTTTTAAACAAAAAATAAGCAATTTAAACACTCTCTCTCTCTCTCTCTCTGTAAACTTACATGATTTTAATAATTGTTTTAAAGTAGAATATATATATATTTTTTACATGATTTTGATACCCGTTTTAAAGTAGAATATGTATATAATGCAGATAGATAACATTTAAGAAGTCAGTTTTCCACTTGCATGTGGTGGTTGGTACATGTATGTGGTTCGCCCACTCGTGAGGTAGGTGGATCAGGAGTTCAAGGTCATCCTTGGCTACAAGTTGATTTGAGATCAGACTGAATTATATAAGATCCTGTTTCAAAAAGAAAACCATAAAAGCCAATTTCCATTTACCATTTGTTTAATGACTAAAAAAACCAAAGTACTAATTGGCATTTTCCTTTGGAGGGGTTGTTTTTTTAAGTAAGAGTTTAAGTGAATGGAAGAATATAAACATGATTGAAAGTGTAAAGAGCCAATTGGCTTATAAACAAGTGGTTGCTCAGGTCTATGGAGTTTGTGGTTTAGTAGGGTTTTTTCCTCCTGTGGTAGAAATATGAAGATCTAATCCTGGTAGTAAAGGTGTCAACCCAGACATACTCAAAGGCTGAGAAGTAACGGTTTCTTCTCCCCATGCAGCATACAGTTTCCAGGTGGTCCATAAGATCATTGCTTTTTGTTGCTCACAGTGTTGAGTTTGGGCAGGACCCATGATTTTTACTGTTTAACCAACAGGCAATGGAAACATTCATTGCACTCACACAATTGCCCTTTCTGCAGAGGTTTTGGACCCCCAGAGCCCACTCTCTCTCTTTCCACCTGGCCATGAAGAAAAGAAGTCAGCTGCTGTTTCTGACTTACATGGAGAGAGCAAAGTCAGTGTGAGATGAATTGTGTGGATAGCCTCCCAAAGCTGAGCTTGTCCTCTGGCTGACAAAGGTCAAAATATGAATAAATCCTATAGTTGCAAATATATAAATTGTACCCCAAACCTAAGAGCCCGAAAGCAGATTCTTCTCCTTGAAGCTTCTAGATGAAAATTTCACCCAGGTGACGTTTGATTGAAGTAGACGTGGCCCTGAAGCAGAGAACCCAACTAGATGGGTTCTTGCAAACTAATCCTGGAGGAAAAGGCAAATGAGAAGATTGAGAAGAGGCAAAGTAGACTCGGAGATGTGTTCTTCAGTTCTTTCTTAAGGTCTTGGGGAAGCTGTTCCCGGTGGCTTGGGCCTGCAATCCCACCTCCACAGGAAGCTGAGACATAATGATGTTAAGTTCCAGGCCAGCTAGAGCAATTTAGTGAGACCTCTCAAAATGAAAACTACTCAAAAGGCTGGGAATATAGTTCAGGGGGAGCCCTCGGCCTAGTATGAGTAGTAAAAGCAAGGCTCTAGGCCCCCCTAGCCTCCCTCCCCCCAAATAGGTCTTAGTGAGGCTTTCAGGTATTTAAATTCTGGCCTTTTTTGAAGAGTGTCATACTTCTGAGTTCCAAACTAAGATAACTATAATAATTATAGTTTACTGGGGTAGTTGTCAAGAGGGAAAGAAAGCATCAATTTACTTGTAAAATTCTGTAAGGAGACTGTCCCCCTAAAATAGCTGGCTAGTGTGTAGTACTCCCACAACTGTCCCTGCTTTATTTTCTTTCTTCCCATGCTCAAAGTCAGATACATTCAGTTCCTTTCCACATAGCGCATAGTAAGGTAATTGTGCACCGCTCTTCCAGCTCGACTGTTAGGGATAGATCTTAAAGATGGTTTGGGACAGATTTTACACACGGGAAAAGGGCCCTTCTTGTTGGCCTCCAGATGGAGTGTGCTTCCCCATGGCTTCTCAAGCCCATGGGAGGACCTGTGTTAACTTGCATGGGCAGATGCCCATGGAAGCGGTTCAGACTTACAACAGGGAGGAGGGCATGAAGAGGAGGAAAAAAGAGTCTAGATTTTTCTACGATGGTGTGTAGAAGCTGCTGAACAGTGGAAGTGAAGCCATACCCCTTAGGATGCCATACCAAGCAGAAAGCCTCCAACAAATCCTCCAGTCACGAAAACATTCTTCTTTACAAAGGACACCAACTCCTCAGCTTTGCTCTTGACCTCGTTTGGTATTTGGGTGCTCTTCCGAATCGTCAGTTGCTCCTTGGCCTTTTTCATGTCCTTCTCTACTCGATTCCAGTCAACTTTGATGTAGCCAGTATGGTTTGCGAGCTGAAGGAGAAAAAAGCCCCCTCCCACTGCTGTGGCAGCTAGCTTTCCAACTTTCTGGAATATGAAGCCAGTGCACCAGCCAGTGACGCCGCCGATCAGGAGCTGGGTTGCCACGCTGTACTTCTCACCTGAAGGCCGTGTCTCCTGCCCGAAAAGCTTGCGCCACCAAGGCTGGTTTTTGGCAAATTCTGTAAGATCCAGAGCCTCATAAGGGTCAAAGTGCCCTTGACTGGTCGTGGCCATCCCTGTGAGGTGGTTGTGAGAGGACAAGCCCTGAGGATCAGCAGGGCAGGAGATGGAGCGTACCGCGGTTATGGTGGTCGTCGTCGTTGTCATGGCCAGCGGGCTCTCCGCACGTGGGCAGATGTCTCCATTCCCACGGCCTGCGGCAAAAGAGGGCGGGTGGAGCGCGCGCCTCCGCTTTCCCTCAGCCCCAGCTACGTCACAAAGCCACCTTGGCCTTTGTCAAGTACTTAAATTGAGTGTCCTAAGGATCAGAAAAGGCTAAAACTCACCCGGTTGTCTATATTCGTAAGACTAGAAAAGTAAAGTATATTATAAATACGAGTTGGAAGATTTGGTGGGTTTTGCCAAAGAAAATGGATTTCAATTGAATGCTCAAGCCAAAACGGGAGATTTGTTACTAAGTGCAACCAAGGTTTTCAAAAGTGAATTTCAAGGTATCACCACAAACGTTTGTTTTATACATTCAGCCAGAAACATTTTACAGGAAATTCAATTGAATGATTTCACGTTAGAAGTGTTGCTTCTTTGCATTTTAATAGCAGAGACACTCTCAAAAAAGTGAATTTATTTGGGACTCTGCAGTCGATTACAACCCCCAGGATATGTGTGCTGTGATGGATACATCTAAGGAGACTGAGACAAGTTAACACTTTGAAGGCAAAAAGAAGTGCATATAGGTTGTTGTGCACTGGTTACTGAGGCTTGCTGCACAATGTTTCTTGTGTTGTTTGCTAGGAGAGAAGGTCTTCACAGAAGTGATTCTGATTGCAAGATTGTGGTTCAGACAATTGTAACTATACACCTAGGGCTGTCTATTACTGGAAAGATTTCATGGAAGTAGGCTTAATGCAGAGCTGTGGGCTTGACGGTTTTTGTGATAGCCTAAGGAGTAACTATATCTAATAAAATTTGGTCATGAGAATTGTGAAACAGTATGAACAACTTGCTTTGCTGGTCCAGTCCTAAGAAGAAGGTGAAGTGCCAGTCCAGTTGACTGTGGGTTAAACTGTACATTATACAAAGAAAAATGTTGAGGCAGCCAGGAATGTTGCACACCTGAAAGTCTAACATTTGGAGATCTGAAGCAGAAGGAATGCCACAAGTTTGAGGCCGGCTGTGCTCTACCAACAGTCATGGACTATAGACCTAGATACTATCTCAAAAAGAACACAGAACAAAACAAAGCCAGGCATGGTGGTTCATACCGGTAATCCCAGAGCCTGGGAGGCAGAGATTGGAGGATCAGAAGTTCAGGGGTGACCTCAACTACATAGTGAGTTGAAGACCAGCCCGTGCTGCTTGAGACCCCTCCCCTAAGGGGGGGACCCACATTAAATTGAACTTGTAATATATCAAAAAATATATATAGGTAAAAATTGTTCAAAACTTTTGAAGCAATAGATATTTATTAAAGTTAATTGATGTAAAGGTAAATTTTCATTTTTCATATGTCTCTGTGCAGTTAAACTTGAATCTGAATCAGGTTTGCCCATAAATCAAAACTGTAGCTTTCATTTTTGAAGTATTGGGGGTTTCAAGCCTGTTAAGCAAGCACTCTATCTTAGCTACATCTCAAGCCCAGAACTATACCTTTTAATTGGGAAAAGTTCAGGTAAATATTAAAAATTTCTTGGAAATATTTGAGAAATTAGCTAGGTAGTGGTACCATACACCTTTAATCCCAGCATTGGTGAGGGAGAGGCAGGCAGATCTCTGAGTTTGAGGTCAGCCTGGTCTACAGTTTCAAGATGGCCAGGGCTACACAGAGAACCCCTGTCTGGGGGTGGGGTAGGGAACACATGCACAGAGAAGTAAATAGTGTCCAGCTAGAAGCACTAGTGACTGTTGTCCGTTCACTGTAACAGTTGGTGTGGTAGCCTGCTACGTCTGGGACATTATGCCTGAAGTTGTAGCTTGACCCGCCTCCCCACTAGCTGTGTGGCCTAGGATAATATTTTCTCAGCCTCAGTTTCTCTGTCTAACCCAGAGATTCCTTTTTCAAGTGTCCTTGGATAGCTTAGATGAGAACATGTGCTGTGTTGTCATTGAAATAGAGCCGGGCTGACACTCCAGTTCTATGCATCAGTCCCTACTCTTGCTTTCCAACACAATAGATACTCCTATTAGTCCCTGTAGTCAGGATGCAAGCACTTACCCTAGAAGAATTCATCCTTGGTGAGGCCTTAGGCTCTTAATTTCTCTGCTTTAATCTCCTGTTGTATTTTTACAGGGGCAAATTCAACGGTTTACTCTTCAGTTTTGATTTTACCTGGTATTCAGATAAATGGTTAGAAAGTTGGCCGGCTGCCTTAATGAAAGTGAAAATATTTTGAAGTCATTTTAAATTTTACTTCTAGATGCTGTTTGGCACTCATGGGTGTGAGCAAGTTAGATATTCTGTACCGGAGACTTCTCCTCACAAAACTTTTCATCAGAGGATGGGGAAGGCCAGAAGATCTCAAGAGGTAGTGTGTGTGTGTGTGTGTGTGTGTGTGTGTTTCATGAATGTTTGGCTGTTTATTTTGTGTGTATGGGTGCTTGCCTGCACATATATGTGTGCACCACATATGTGCTTTGTGCTTTCGGGGATCAGAAGAGGGTATCAGATCTCCTGGAAATGGAGGTGTGAATGATTGTGAGTCACCATATGGGTGCTGGGAACCAAACCTGAGTCTTCAGCAAGAGCAACAAGTGCTCTTGTTGAGCACTTGAACTACTGTGACCACTTCTCCAGTCCATGAATAGTTGTTTTGAATTTATTGTTTTAATACACAGTTAAATTTTTATTTCAGTTTAAAATATTTTAGTTTCAAATCTAGATTGGCTTATTGAGGAAATTAAATATTTAACTTTATAAAAAGTTTTCTTTTCATCCTTTGAGTTATTTCTGTACATTTTAGCTTATAGCATCATGACTTGGGTACAAACTAGTTTTTTAGCATCAGTTATTGCTAGGCTGGTTGAAGTTGTATGTGGTTTCCAGGCACTGATTTTCTTGGATAACCTGAATTCTCAATGGCTGTGAAACTGGAATACACTGGAGCTCATGGGAAAACCTAAGAAAAATTATTTTCAGATTGGTCCCTTTCATTTTTAATTGTAAATGTGTTCATTACTTCTGAATATTTTGTTTTTCATATTTTTAAGAAAAGTTTTCCAATTTCTAAAAGAGAAGAAAAAGTATCCTTTTCTATCAATGGTAAAAGTTGAATTTGAACATGGCTTCTTATTTGAATTTGCTAATTTTAATCACTATTCATCACTCATAACACAGTAGGTATAATAGTTAGCATAAAATGTGGTTAAAAAAACAAACTTTTTGTCTCCTAATAGACTCTTTGAATTCAGAAAGATGATTGGAAATCGAGAAAGGTGCCAGAATCTGGTTTCACACGACTATCCGGTACACATTGATAAGGTATGCAAGAACAAAGGTGAAAAGATCCATAGCAGTCATCCTGAGACAGTGCCACGGAGGATTTATGTATATTTAAAGAATGCTATTCTACCCCAACCACGTTTTAATAGTTTTATTCATAAGTAATGGGGAACATATGTTTAGCATTTGCCTGAATACACAGTATTTAGGCTGCATTTTTTTCTGAGTTTCATTTTGTATCCTTAGGCTCCTGAGGGTTCAATTATTCAACACTAAAGAAGAATATTAAAGAAGACTAGTAAGTATTAAAAGAAAGCCATCTACTTGGAGAACCAGCACATTAGGCATTATTTGCAAAAGCCACCATTAGGAAGTACCAGGGAGCTATAATAGAATACATCGCTCAAGGAATGCTAGAAAAAAATGCTCTGAACTTAGAAAAGGAGAGAATAGTTTTGAAATTGTTTTATTTCATAAGCAATCATCTGCTTTTCTGTAAAATCTAAGTATGTGTAATTGAGTACTTTGAGATATTATAGGAGAAGGGAAATAAATGGGTGAGTTTCCCAGTCCATCCCTGACCTTCGGCTGAAGTAAGTGTACTTTCATCTTTTAAATATTGGATATATTTAGATTTTCTTTGCCAGAAGATTCCCCCTGATAAAACCCAGAACTTATAAATGGAAACCTTCCCTCCACCATAGATGTTACATCTAGACTAAGTTTAAAATTTTTCTTTGTGACTCAAATTTTGGTGAATATTTCCATTTTTCTCTGGATTTTTTTTTCTTTTAAAATTATAGGCTCTTGGGTGAGGCAGTGGTGGCTCACACCTTTAATCACAGCACTTGGGAGGCAGAGGCAGGTGGATCTCAGTGAGTTTGAGGCTAGCCTGGTATACAGAGCGAGTTCCAAGACAGCCAAGGCTACACAGAGAAACCCCATCTTGGGGGTGGGGGGACACTTTTAGCCAGTGTGGTGGCTTTTGGGAAGCAAAAGCAGGAGAATCTCTGCGAGTTCCAGGGCAGCTAAGGCTACACAGAAAGACCCTATCCTCCCACCCACCCACCCCTCAAAAATTAGTAGGCTTTTACTGGCTGAGGAGATGGCTTAGTGGGTACAATCCCCATTACACAAGTATGAGAATCTGAGTTCAGATCTCCAGGACTCACTTCAAAGCCAGGCATGGAAGTGGGCACCCTTAATCAAAGATAGGAGGAGTCTTGGGGATTGCTGATCAGCTAGTCTAGTAGAAACTGCAAGCTCCAGGTTAGTCAGACTTAGTTGCAAAAAATAGAGGTGCCTTTAATCCCAGCACTAAGGAGGCAGAGACAGGCAGATGTCTGTGAGTTCAAAGCCAGCCAGTCCACATAACGAGTTCTAGGACAACTAGGGCTACATAGAAAGACTGTCTCAAAATATAGAAAACAAGTAAGTGGAGAGCAAGTGGCTCTAACTCTTGAAAAGCTATGAAGGGAATTTAACTAAACCTCTCTCCCTCTAAAGAACTCAAGATTCAAAGGTTAAGGTGGAATTCTACTCTTCAGAGGCTGAATAGCAAGTAGCTCACTGCCTCTCCTTGCTGGCGTTCTCCAAAAAGCTCTGGTGTGTCCCCTCGCCCCTCCTTATAAACCCTTTCTCACCTGGCTCCTCTCTACCACTTCCTGTCAGCTAGTTGTTGATGCAGCCTCCGGACCGCAGGTGAATTTTATTTAATCAAACACATCTGTGCATCATTAAACAAATGTTCCAGAGCATGAACAAAAGTAAATTGAAATAATATTCTACAGCAACACACAGTAAAATACATGCACAAGTAAACATACCAAGATACCAAGAGTATAGGCTTTTAAAATAAGAAG